TAATACTAAAATACCTAATAAAAATTCACTAGTTCGCGATATTGTGAAAGGTAAAAAAAAAAAAAAAAAAAAAAAAAAAATTTAAATTTTTTATTTTAAATAGTCATATATATTATATTAAATTTTAAATTATAATTTATATATCTAATAATAAATATCAATATTGTTATATTATAAATAAATATTTATAAATTCTATATATCCTAGTAGAATGTAAAAAAGCTACAATATATACATAATAATTTGAATATTTATAAAAAATAGTTTTAATCTTATTTAGTGAAAAAGTTTTTAATTGATTTAATACCAAATTATTTTCAACTTTTAAATGAGTAGATTCTGGTAATAAAAAATAAATTTGATCAATATATTTATCAATATAATTTTCAAATTTTTTTTAAATTCTTCAAAATATAAATTTTTATAATAATTAATATTTATTGTAATTGTTTCAATAACAGATAACAATAACTTGATTTTCTCATTTTTATTTTTAAGCACTTTATCATAATTATTAAATAATTCTTGAACAATTTCTTTTAAAAGTTCAAATGCAGAATCAAATTTGTCTGAACCACGTATTTTTTTTATTTTAGCAAGTCTTTCTTGTAAAAGTTCATCCATTTTATTTTAAAAATTTACAAAACTATTTATATTTATAATAAAAAAATATATAAATATAACCTTTAATTATTTAATAAAAATAAAATGTTAATTAAAAAAATTTTCATTTTATTTTTATTGATCAATCAAACATTTGCGATTTGCCGATATTATAATGATGATAAAGAAGTAGAATCAAACAAAATTTCAAAAACAGATGCTGCACTAATTTGGAATTTAGCTTTCTATTTCTAAAAATATCATGAAATTAATTCAACAATCAAAAAAATTTCATTTGAAAATTATTAAATTCTTGCAAGTCTTAATATTGGAGAAATTTTTAATATTATTGAAAATTCTAATTTAGATTTAAAATTAAAAATAAAACTTCATAATTTTCATGCAAGTAAATATTCTTATTTTCTTTTTATTATTTTAATCGATCAAGTAAAAGATTTTAATTTAGCTAATAAAATAAGAGAAAAAATTAAACAACATAAAGTTTTGAATGAAAAAGATAAAAGAAATTAATTAATAAATTAAACTTAATAATGTGTAAATTCAGATTTAACCAATCACACTCTTTCTGACGATCACTTGTACCAACTTAACACCGAAAGCAAGTTGAAGATTTAAGCCTAGAAGTCAACAACAACTTGAAGTTTTCTTAATATGAACTGTTGTCAATGAAGTCTTTAAACATGATACACTGAGGAGCAGGCGTTTTGGACAGTTTGCAAAGGGGTTAAGCCTTGCTTCTCTGCTATTTCTGGGGTGGACTCCCTTTTGCATTTGGCATCCAAACTGAAGGAGTCTCTGAGAACAGCAAGTAGAAAAAAAAACTAAAGTTAGTTTGAAGATAGAAGACTTTGAAGAACTCTTAGAACAACACTCCTTGGTTAGAAAACTCGCAAAAACTCGATATTTTCTCACTGTCTTTTGGCTTCAAAATTTTCGACAAAAAGTAGGGAATTCGGTTTACCACCTCCAAAAGATCGGCATTGTTTACCACTTCTATATCAGAAAACTAGATGATGACAAATCAGCACGTGTTACAAAATAAATAAAATGATAACAACAAGTCACATGGAGTTTTTAAAGTCCTTATACTTTCGGATAAAGATATGGATTTAATAGGGAAAATTCAAGCAAAGTGTTTTGAAATATACAACGTGTCTCTTGTATATAATTTTTTAGCCTCTGGCACGAGTTATAGTGCATTTTGTTTTAGTTTTATAGTTTTATTTTTGTCAAGACTCTCGCACTTAATAGTAGATCGTTACTCTATATAATTAGAAGTTTTTGCTTAGTCAGCAGGTTTTCTTCTTTTTAGCGATAGTTTCTTTTAGATTTTTAGTTTAGTTTTTTTATATTCCTTAGTATTAGTATTCATTTTTTTGATGTATTTGTTTTTATTATTTACACTTTTTTCATTCCCTATTATCATCTTTTTTTTTTCTTTTTTTCTTCTCTATGAGAAAGTGTTATCATTTTGGCAACATTCTATTGTAGAGTGAGAATCTTGACAGGGCGAGCAACAGCCAGCCGAGAAATTTGGGTGAAATAAGTTCAGAGTGAGTTCCGGATCTCTGAAGGAGGCCAAGTGTTTCTAGGCAGGTCGCATCTGAACAAGACACAGTGGTTTAATAGTTCACCCTGACCGCAAGTGGATGTTTCGGTATCTGCGAGGTACGCCGGGGATGAGTTTACTTTTTGGTTGGAACACTTATAGATTTTAGATTTCTTCATATGCTAATGTAGGAATGAAAGTCTGTTCCCATAATAAAGTAAATAGAATTGCCAAAGGAAAAAAATTAATAATATATAAATTTATACAAAAGATTATTAGCAAATTTAATTTATTTAAATAAAATAAATATTTTTTCTTAATAAATGATTTTACAAATGTTTCGTGCTTATAAATTTGTGGCTTGTTAAAACAAGCTACAAATTAAATATTACTCATTTTTGTAAAATCTTGATAATTCGCTCCAGAGCTGCGAAGGCTCTTTTCTGCAAAATTGCAAGTGATTTTGTATGCTTATAAACCCAATTGCTTACGGTGTAGTAGTTGTTAAATTGTGTGTTTTTATATTGATTTGAGATTTCTAAATTGTTGATTTCATTGATGATACGATTCGGCTCCCAGCCTCACCTTCAAATCATTGTAGCAAACATACTTAAATTAAATATTAATTTTTAAAATAATCTTTTATTGATTTTTTTGATTTATTAATAGTTTGAAAGTTTTTTTTTTTTTTTTTTTTTTTTTACCTTTCACAATATCGCGAACTAGTGAATTTTTATTAGGTATTTTAGTATTA